CTCTCTCTCTCTCTCTCTCTCTCTCTCTCTCTCTCTCTTTTTGGCTGTCGTCGTGGTTGTCGTTGTATTCGCTCGTGTTGCTGCTCTCGTCCTGGACTCTTGTGCTCTCGGTTTTTCCATTTTTCTGACGTGGCCATGAACCCCACCGCTCAAGCAGGCGGAGGCATTCCTGATGGAGACGGAAAACATGCACGTGGTATCCTTGGGCGATCTCGGGGCGTACGGTGAGGAGGCTCTAGTACAGGATTGTGGTTCGGCCTGTGCATAAGGCTAGTTCTTCGTCCGTCCGTTCCAAAGGAGACGAAGCAGGTTGGGCGGTAGCACGGCAGAGCTATAGCAGGCGGGCAAGAGGTGGGGGGTCCTTGCACTCTCTCCCGTTGGCCACGCGGCATTTGCTGACTGCTCCTCTTCCGTTTGGCCCCCGTGATATATTTTCGACTGTGTTGCTGCAGGTGCTGGTGCTCCTGCTTCTGCTGCTTCTGCTGCTTCTGATTTTGCTTCTTATGCTGGTTGATGCTGCTACCGCTACTGCTGCTGCGGCCGCTGCCGTCATCGGCGTACACACACACACACAATCATTCCCATCTTTCCTCTCTGTCTGTCTGTCTGTCTGTCTGTCTGTCTGTCTGTCTGTCTCTCCCTCTCTCTCTCTCTCTCTCTCTTTCTCTCTCTGTCCGCAGGGTCTGCAGGCACGACGGAGTGCTTCAGGGTCGCGAGGGAATACCTCGACGGCTTCCACGCGCCCGTGGACATCGTCTCGGGAAACCACGACCTCGAGGGGTTGGGAGAGTTCGCCACGGACCGAGAAAACCTCGCCGCGTTCCAGGTCACCAGCAAAGTGTTTTGTTGCTGTTTGGTCCGTCAGTGCTGTGTCGTTTTTTTTTTTCCTCGTTTGCGGGTGTCTTGTTTTTACGATGTTATTGATGTTAGAGGTTTTGATTTTGACGGGGGCGAGAGTGGGGGTAAAGAAACTGTAAGACGTCGAACGGCATAGGCGCATCATGTGAGAGTGTATCCACTTGGACTATGCGTTGGGGGGGTATTTGGTTTTTGGAGTCGAGGGACTCGATGAGTTTGTTGTCTCCAACATAACATGGTCGTTGGATCGTTGAATGTGCCGCTTTTCATTACTCGTCAGGCGGCCTTCGACAAGGAGAGCCCACAGTTCTCCGCTGTTATCGCAGAGAAAACCCTGTGCCTTGGGCTAAGCACGGTGCGCTTCAGGGATGCGGAGGGCTCCAGGTGTGCGCTAACCGGCTGGCCATGAAAAGACGTCAGTCTCAGTGCGGTTGAAAACATAACATGCTCCTTAAGGCCATGGATACGCGCGTGTGTGTGTGTCCTTCTTGTTAGTGTCGATCGCACCACACTGGCTGACCAACGAAAATTTTCGGTCTCAGTTGAAGATAAGAACCCAAAGCGCTACACTTGGACATGATGTGGGATCCCTTGAGGGCGGGGGGCGGCGCACGGTGTGTTTGGTTGTAGGTTGTGCTCCTCCTTTGACAATATTGAAGTCTCCGAAGGGCTATCGGATTGAAACGTTCGTGTGTCCTGGTTCGGCATCAAAGTTACCAAGAAAAACGGGCCTGCTATTTGTTGCTTTCTCACTCGCTTGGGTGGAAGTACGTCTTTGGTTTTCCCGTAGATTCGATGTTCGGCTTGGTGATGCGACGAAACTCGAACATTCCCTCGTTAGACGTGTCTCTCTCTCTCTCCCGCCCTTCTTCCCCTCCACAACTTTATGCGGCCCTTACGCCACCGCCGCCGCCGCTGCCACCACCACCATGATCAACTACACTCAAAAAGCCACGAGGTATTCATCGACGAAGCTCAGATGCGGTGGTTCGAGCAGCAGCTGGCGGCACACTCGGCGGAGGACGGATGGAAGGTAAGGGGATGCGGCGAGGACGGAGGAGAGCTGTATTGACTAATAGCAGACCGCCTGACGACACGAGCGCATGGACGAGGGTTGCGCCCGCTCTCCGTGCGGACAACGATGCATCGGCCACTCTGTAGTGATGTGGCACACCGATGACTACGCCGCTTTTTTTTTCCGTTTGGTTAACGTGCGTGATTTGATTTGTGCGTCGGCTGGAAGTATAGAATGCATTTCCATATATTTCGTGGGTTCCCTGCCTCGTGTTTTTCGCTATCACGCTGCTCCTTGTTGCTCATCTGCCGCTACTCACCCTGCTGTTGCTGCTGCTGCTGCTGCTGCTGCTGCTGCTCGCGCTACTGCTGGTCGTGGGGGGGGGGTGGTGCATCATTTTTTCAACGGAAAAGGTCATGGTATTCTCACACGCCCCACCCATGGGATCAGGGTTGCGGGTGGTGCAGGGGGTGCACATCAAGAACCAGTGCGCCTGGTTAAACCACAGGTATGCGGGGGTGCTGTCAAAGAACGCTAGCGAAACCGTAGATGCAAAGTGCTAAAGTACGGATGACAAAGCGTCAAACAACAATAACACCCGTATCGGTTTCAAAGGTGCATGATGATGAAGTCAATCCAACGAACCATTCACAGCCGTTATGGTTTTCATAAGGAATTAACTCTCACAGAAAATACAGGTTCTTTTGAGCAAGTTGCAGGGTGGCTGCACGTGCACACGCACACATCGGTTTTGCCTTTTTCATCATGACATGATGAGCTTGCAGTTCCTCTGTTTTCTAGTGGTGTTGCTTGTTGTTGGCTGCTGGCCATGCCGGATCACTTTCGGCACGAAACTTCCGCGCGCGTTAACAGGTCCTCTTGTGTTGTGGTGCACTTCCTTCAAACCCCTTGCTGCAACCTCTCCCGTGATGTTTGCCGACCTTACTCGCTAACTAACCCTGTCAAGAACCTTGTCTCGGTGTGTAGTGTCGAAAGTTGACTCAATCCGGAATCTCGCTGTGGTCGACTCTCATGGCAGTGTGGGAGACAGGGAGCGGCGATACTTCCTGAGGATGTGTCGCAAGTACGGCCACATTAAGGCCTGGTTTTCGGGCCATTTCCACCTCAGGTTGGCGTGTTGCTGTTGCTGTTGCTGCTGCTGTTGCTGTTGCCGCTGCTGCTGCTGCTGCTGCTGTTGCTTTTGTTGCTCTTGTTGCTGTTGATGTTGTTGCTGCTGCTGCTGCTGCTGCTGCTGCTGCTGCTGCTGCTGTTGCTGTTGCTGTTGTTGTTGTTGTTGGTGGCGGCGCTGTTACATTGGTTGTTATTGGTTGTTGGGCGGGGCTTGGCACGACGTTGTTGTGCTTTGTTGAGTTATGGCGGAGGTGGGCACATTCAAGTACTCTCGGAAGCTATAAGGGTGGGTGGGTGGCTAGGTGCTGGTGGTTGTTTCCTTCTCCTGGTAAAGCTTACTTCACGTTGCTCGCGTTCTTCCAAGCAAAATCGATCCTCGGAAAGTGTTCGACTGACTCAACCCGAGGGCGGCAACCCAGTGGATACCCCCCGCCATCTTCCGCGTCGCCCCTTCATCGACCAAACCGACCTTTTATGTCTGGTCGGTGCTCTTCCGTCCTCCTCGTTCGTGTTATCCTTCGTGTAAACCTGTTTTTTTTTTTCTCATCTCTACCCCATCCCGTTCACCCAAATGCTATTCCCTCTCCCTCTCTCTCTCTCTCTCTCTCTGTGTGTGTCTCTCTGTGTCTCTCTCTCTCCCTCTCTCCCTTTCTCTCTAGCTTGGTCTCTGTGCGACACGTATACCACAGGCGTTCCTCCCTTGCTGCACGCTGATGTTTCCGTGTGCGATTTTGTTTCGTGCTTACCTCCCTCCGCTCGCCACGCCGCGCTCTCCGGACTCTTGCGCCCGTTCCTCTTCCCGCTCCCACGCAGCCACGACTACGAAGACTCGATCAGCGTCGTGGACGGGTGTGCTTTCGTACAGGTGAGCACCACCATTTTCTCTGCTTCAAAGGCAGTCATCCACTTCTAAGACTATTTTTGTTTTGTTTTGTTTGGGAGGCGCGTGTCCAAGCATGTCGCTGGCGGACAGCGAGACAGTCGTTGCGGTGGCTTCGTCCGATGGCGATTCTCGAGCTGCCGGCCGCTTGCCGGAGATGCGCGTCCCACTTTCAGTGAACTATTTTCAGCACATCACCAACAGCGAGTGCACACACACCCGTTTTTTTGCGGGAGCCGATACTGCAGAGCGCGATTCGCCAACGAACGCCAGCAAAACAATAATCGTTTCAATAGCCCCGATGCCCAACAGGCACACTCCCGCCGGTCCGCTGTCTTTTCGATGTTGGTTCCAAGGTCGGCGTCATCGGGGAGAAGAGCACCCGGGACGGGCGGCGACAAACGAGGCTGGTCAGGGGCACCGCAGAATGTCTCCAGGTATGACCACCCACAGTCGTGGGGTCCCCCATGAGGTTGGGGTGGCGGGTAGATGGGGCGGGGGAGAAGTGCTCCTGGCGCTGTCTACCTGGCGCCAGTAGAATAAAAAAGTTGGTTTTGTTGTGTTTTGAATACGAGCGCGGGCGTGTGCACCGCGAGGGCGAGCGGGTCGGCCTTGCACGTACTCGATTTACAGGGGGCCCGCGACTGCAAGCTCTTGCGGTCCTTTGCGCTTCCGCTGATACGTCGTCGTACTCGTTGCCGGCGGAAATAAAACTGATTGTTTTGCGGGCGCTAGGCAACAGTGAAAAATCTCGTTCATCATTCGTACAAGCAAGGCAACAGAACTATAATCACATTGACGAGATTTCGGGACGCGATGGGTACACTAGTGTCATCCACACACACACACTAGAAGGGGACGTATTTGTCGGGGCTCACGGTGCGTTTTCTTTCTTCTTTCCGACGTCGGCACCCCACGGGCTTCATTCAAACCTGTCTCTCGTGTCTGCCTTCTACCCCCCGCTCCGATGCCATACTGCAGTGTGGCATCATTGTTTCTGTCGCCATCACCTGTTGCAACCTTTGTTAGCACCATTCACGTCGGCAATGCGGGGTTCCGCGGAGTCGGGCCGGCGGCGTTCAGGTGCTGGAGGTAGCGGAGCAGCAGCACCGTGCCCTCACCCCTTGTAGCACCTAGGTTGTTGCGAGCGTACTGGGCTACATGCGTACTCATACCGTACAGAACCAGGTAACATGCCAGGTACGTGTTTTGTGGTTCTGCCCACAAGCACGTACAATTTATTAACGTATCCACTCCATTGGGCCCCCACCCCGATGTCGCTGTTCAGGTGTACACCGTGAGCCATCACGTGAAGGGAGCGGCCGACGCGCGGCTGGATGTCACCCTCAACTACGATGTGAGCCAAGAACCTTTGCTCTCACTGCTGTTTTTTTGTATTGCAGTCTTTGTCTTCGTATTTTTTTTTGCTTGCCTTGTCTGGTGCATTTTTCTTGCCTCTGCTTCTCTGAACGAACTCTCGTTTTTTCTTTTTTTCTTGATGCGAACTATTTGCTCTGCTCGTCTGGATGGGCTCTCGTTTCAATGGCCATCACCCGTGCTAGTACCGGGTTGCTTGCCAGTGAAACATCACCAGCAATAGACGATCTTCGGTATGGAGACAACATATAAAAGGAATGCAAACGCACCCTGGACTGTTTGGGTTCCTAGAAAGACGTACGTTCACGGTCACACGTGCCGGGTTCCGGCCCTCCAAGCAAAGAGGGGGCCTTCATCCGAACAACTCATCCTCTCCCGTGCATCATTGAATGTTGGAAATATGCCCCCACCCGACCTTACTACCTCCATGATATTGCGACCCAGCCCCCCGCCACCCTCACAGGTGATTTGTGATGGAGATTGCCGGACACATAGACGTGTTGAGTGAGGATAGCTGCATACTGAAACCTCACAGATGCATTGGTTTTTGAGATTGCCACACACATCGACGCGTTGAGTGGGAATAGCTGCATAACCCCACAGATGGATTGTTTTTCGATTTTGCCAGACACATAGACGCGCTGAGTGGGGATAGCTACATACGAAACCTCACGAGTTGAGTGATGTTGGATAGTGCC